ACTGGTGAATTTGGTGTTATTATAGTTCTGTATAAATATTTGAACTCTTATTCAACATGTGTAATTTTAAAGTTTTCCTGTGTTCTTTGCAATTTTGTTACACAGTAATTTTGAGATTATAGTATAGGTCAGTGGGAGAACAAAATGTAATATAGAGCAAATGACTATGGGCAGATTTTTGAAAATGTACTGATGATACTTTCCTGTGCTGAAGGTTATATGTAAGCTTCAAACAAAAGAGATTTGTGCTGTCAAACAGTCAAAAGAAAGAATGCATCAGCCTCCATCTTTTCTGCAGCTGCCTCTCCTCAAAGCTCTTCCTTGCTCCTTATTCGCTTTAGGACAGGTGGGAACATTTCCCTGCTCACACCACCTAGATCAAGTTTTCCTTAAATTGTTTAATATTTTGAAGTTTATATGGAGAAGTAAAAGTAAACCAAAACATGACAAGTAATGCCCGCTCAGCAAGTTATTTTATCACTTAAAGGAACTATGTCAATGATGTTAAAAGTTTATGATATGGATATCCTTCATCTCACAACTTACTAACCTTGGGAAGATTACATCTTCAAGGCTTAGATAAATTCTTACCATCATTATGAAGCCTCTTCTGATCAGGCCACCTGAAAACTTCCCACTGCATAGTCTCTATACTAACTTTGTGGCACTTACTTGTGTTATAATCAGAATAGACTGATAGACTGTGGCAAAGTGCAGATCATCCTGAAATTCCAATGGCTTAAAATTTTCTTCTAGTTTAATCCACTTAATCATTGGTAGGAAAGGGGGCATTCTGTTCTCACTAGCCATTCAGGGACTCAGAACAGGGATGTCTTTACCATCTTCCATGTGGAACATGTGGCCCCCGTGCTCACTACGGCAAGAGTAGAGAGCTGGAGGATTGCTCAAGCGTTTCCATGCTTTGCTTTGAAATGACACATGATATTTCCATTCGCAGCCCATCCAGAACTAGTTCCATGACCCCACCTAATCTCAAGAGGACAAGAAAAGTGGGGAAACAGATAGAATGTTGGGTGAGCACCACTCTCTCTTCCAATAATTCATTCAACAAATATGTATTGAGTGCTTACTATGTGCCAGGTACTGTTCTAGGCCCTGGAAATATTAAATATAGTTTTTAAAGACAAAAATCCCTGCTCTCTTGTAGTATATGTTCCATATTTTGGTTAATATTCATGGTTATTTTTACATATGCTTTAGAGACAACTGCTTGTCTTATATAATTCCATATATCCTAACAGAGTACAACACATATAACAGTGGTTTAACAAAAAGTGTAAATAAATATAACTGTTTAATGTCGTCTTGTGCAGGATCCCAAGCTCTACAATTACATACAAAGAACACCCATAACATATAAATTCTTTAAGTTAACCATAGTTCTATAATGTAAAATCAGCCCCTGCTTGTCTATGCAGACAGGCTTTGAGCGCTTCAAGAATTTTTGTTAAGTGTTAAGAGAGTTGCTTCTAGAATAAAAACTTTTGCTCATGTTCCATCCATAAGGATTATAAGTTCCTTGAGGGTAGGAACTCTTTCTTTTGGGAACAATGTAAACTCCATAGTTTTAATACAGTGTCAGGGAGCTAAACCTAGGCAGTCCAGAGCCCTGATTGATTAAGCATTCATTCATTCATTGAATATTTATTAAGTTTCTGTTATGTGCCAAGCAGTGTCTACAAAGATGGATAAGTTTATATCCACAAGAAGTCTATAATTTCCAGTATTGGTAAACTGGGGCTTATTCTGGACTCAAATGGTACTTTGTGCTTATTTTCTCCACTTAACAATTATATTCACATGAATTAGCCCCTCAGGAAGAATGGGAGGGGAAAAACTTGAAAATAACTTCTCTTATTCAACCCCATTTGATTACATGAATCTAAATGATAGTCTCTTCTTGAATACTGCCTATAAAGTCAGCCTATTTCATTTTCAGATATTTTAATTATTAAGAAGTTCTTTATATTTATCCAAAATCAAAATTTCTGTCTCTGGAAACTTATATAGTAATTTATATCATTCTTTCCTGTAATGATCCTAAAATATTCTATGATAGTTATCAGGTTATGCCTAATCTTCTCATCTCCAATCCCTTTTAAATATAGTTTCAAGCTGCCTCACCATTCGATCACTTCCCTTTTGTGGAAAGTCTTCTAGTTTGTCAGTGCTTCTTAAAGTGTAGAACACCGAACTACAGAAGACGGTTGAATATACAATTTGTTGAGTGTAGTAGATTTATTTGAGATTATAGGTTTATTAAAGAAGCAGTGCTTCCTGGAATTGGCATATTGTAATTATAATCTGAAAGTACAAGTAAGATATGAAGGAAAGAAAAAGCATGAGGAACATTTAAATAAATGCTTAGAAATGGAGCAAATGGAAGACAGGATTCTCTGCTCGCAACTACAGTGAGCGAGACAGGACATGTGTTAAAACTCCTGGAATTAGGTGGAGTAAGTTAAAGTGACAGGGTACCTTACGGTCCTCAAATGGTGTGGTTTCAGATCTAATGGGTATTTCAAAGAGGAATTTTAGTAGAATTCTGTGCTATGTGTAGCAGGAAGAAGAAGCAGCAGAGAAATGTTTTAACTTTGTAGGACCACTAGGAAGAGATTGCTGGTATCCAGCAAAAAAGTGTTTGCTTTGAGGGGAAGAGGGTACAAAAAAGTTTTTGCTTTGAGGTAAGGGAAGTCACGTGAGCAAGAAGGTATAGGATTCTGCAGGAGTTTTGATGAAGTCTGAAGCAAACAATTCACCCTTAATTTGTGGTGGAGAATAAGGTTCTTGGCAAAATGATGAAGTAATAACAATAGGTAACACATAAGGCCTAACTGTGTGCAAGATGTTATTCTAAGTATTTCCCATATGTTAACACAATCTTCACAACAGCTCTGTGAGTTAGGCACTTTTATTATCCCCATTTTATGGATGAGCAAAATTCACCCATGGAGAATTGAATTTGCTGAATGTCACATAGCTAGTAAGATGGCAAAGCTGAGATCTTAACCCAAGTAGTGTGTCTCCACAGTCTGCCCTCGTGATCACGATAGTGTATCTCACTGTGCTATAGGGTGCTGTTTGATTTCAGCTTCTTTCACATCTCATAACTTAATTTGTGCCCTTCTTTTCATGCATGGTGCCCCCTTTCTTACTCCTGCAAAGGAGCCAATGCCTTCCTGACCTTTTCTAAAATCTACTCTCAGGAAAGAAGCTAATATGCCCATTCATTCAGTCACATCAAGGAATAAATAACTGATATGGTTTAATATAAAATAATCTACTCCAGGGTTGAGTTTTGTTAGGGGCACAGGGAATGTTAAAGGGCCATAAAACCTTAACTCAAAACCCTGTTGAAATTTAAAATGTATATATGGGCACGACAGGATGAATAAGTTGGGTGCATGACCTTCTGTGCCCCTTCAAATTATACGTTATTTAATTTGCCAAAGGCTTATGGGAATTCTTTTGTTAGAAATAAAATAGGAACATAAAAGTGGGAATGGAAAGAAGAGATATATTTTTATTACATTGACTCAATTCTTTTAAAAATACCCTATTATTTTCCTAATTCATTATCAGGTGGAAGAGTTTTGATACAACCATAAGAGACATAGACCCCAGGAGAAAGCTTTAACTTGGACAGTTATAGATGAAAGAGATAATCTCATTCTAGGGTTTAAATGTTCATGTATTTACATCTGAATCGAGGTAGCGCAAAGGATTGTTGTAGTTCCTTTATTTCCTGCAGAAATAAAACCCTGTCAGATGGCTCTAGGAATCTTACAATTTGGGACTGTTACCCTAGAGTTATCTTTTATGCCTCCCTTTCTTATTCCACATTAGTCAATCATCAAGCCCTTCCATTTTTTTCTTTACAAGGTTTCTCATATATTTCAATCTAGTTCAGTTCAGTGAACACTAACTGAGTCCCTGCTTTATGTCACATACTGTGCTCTGAGTATACAAGTACCCCTACCTATCTCAATTGTCTCATTTTCTAGGAGAAAATATAGCATGATAGAAGCAATCATAAGAGTGAAAACAATACAGCAGAGAATTACTCTGTCAGGGAAGACTTGCAAAAGTGATGCTTGAATAGGGTTTTTAAGGATGAATAAGAGTTCTTCGGAATAATGGTGGGGGTGGGGGTGGGGTGCAAAATATCCTAACCAGAGGGCAAAGAATCCACAGAGACAAAGGAGCATAGCACAGTGTGGCCTGGCAGCTACAAGTAGTATTGCTATAGAATACATGAAGTTTGAGTCAAGGGCTGGTGACAATGGTGTTTTTGCTTTTTTATTGTCAGGATCTTCATATATCTAGAGTATCACTTGTTTATTTCCATGTCTGTGATTATTAAAGGCCTAGTCTTTTTTCATTACTCTGCTAAAGTCTTACCTATGTGCCACTCCTTGAAACTTTAGTCACTGTTTCTTGACATCTAAGTATTTGTATGTAGTATGTGTCCTCAATCCTCAACCCTCCGTGATAAGAACAACTTTCACTTGTACTTAAATGGTTATATAGGTTTCATAATCAGATTTGCACGTAATAATTTTGAAAATTTTTTGGAGTTAAAGGACCTATATGAAAATAACATCAGTACAGTAATACAATTTACTATACCAAATAATTCAGTTAAACAAGTGTGTTTTTCTGCTCTCTGTCATTGCACTAGCACATTATTGAGAAAGTATACAATGGAAGAAAATGGGAAGAGGACACTTCCCTTCCACATCTGAGAGAAAAGACTTTATTTAAATTCATACCCATGTAATGTCTGACTTTAATCAGGTCTCTAGGAGAAAAATCAGAGAAGTGTTTATTCAGTTTCTTCTGTTCATAAAATTTGAAAACATAAAAACAAAGGAAGACTACTTGTTAAAGAATATACTACTTTAAAATGAAGTTGTGTGGAAAATACCATCAAAGCAAACTGATTTTTATGTTAATTTCTTTGTAACTTTTTTTTAAAGGATGCCGGACAGTTTTATGCTAAATATAAAGAAACAAGATTGAAGGAAAAGGAAGATGCAGTCACTAGAGCTGAACTTGAAACACTTCAAAGTGAGTTTTAAACATTATCTTACTGTGTTATCAAAATCATATAAAACTAGTTATTTAAATTTGGGTTTTTGAATTCAGCAGTAATTACATTTTCTTTGCTTTCTTTGCCACTCCTAATGTATTACATGTTGAAAATGCTATATTAGTAATTATTGAGCCATCCACAGTTTAATATCAGAAGGAAAAATAAAATCAACATGGGGTCATATAGTTCCTCAAGTCTAGGAGGCATCCAGAATCTAGAAAGTCCTAAAATACTCCAGTGTTATAATTGTCATTGATATTAATGCTGAGTCTATCCAATTGATCACTTGACTTGCTGTATTACAGTAGTAAGTGGGAAACCTAAAAAGATCAGTGATTTTTGTTTTGAAAGTCTTTTTGTTTCATTTGTTTTATTGTTATATAATATGAAAAACTATGACTAAATGATCAATATGTTGAAGTCTTCCACTTAGCACTAAAGACAGTTCTTGCTGATTTTAGGAGAAGTTGAACATGCTGTTAAAGAAGGCATTTTTCCCAGCCCTGGTCTTCTGTCTAATTTTCCATATCTCCATCTTTCCCGCACATACTCACTCTGTCTCTTTATATCGCTTTGTTTTTATTCAGAGCATTTAACACTACTGAACATTAATTTATTTATTAATTTTGTTTACCATCTGGTTGCTCCAATAGAATGTAAACTTCTTGGGGAAAGGGGCTACTGTTTCGATCCAGGTACCTTAAAGAATTCCTAGCACTTAGTAGGTGCTCAATAAATAGTTGTTGACTGGATTCATGAAGGTGATATCTCTATTCTTCCATTTCAATGTGAATATTTTTGGTTCAGACTTTGTTCCCCTCCACCTACCCTGATTCCTAGAGAAGTGCATGGTGTGCGTGGTACCAATTTGGGTACAGAAGACAATATGAAGATAATTTTTTTTTTTAAGATTTTTATTGGGGAATTGGGGGAAGGGGAACAGACAAGTTGCTGTCCTTTTGTTCTTCAGTCTAGTTGTGGAGGATGTTGCTTCACTGGCCCAAGTTGGCACCATCATTGCACTCTTTCTGGGAGAGGCAGATCAGTTGCCAGCTTCTGGACGGCTGCTAACAGTGGCTGCTGGCCGCTCACGCTGGCTGCTGGCTACACATGGTAGCCCATGGCAACCCACTGCAGCAGGGGCTGCAGCCTACGCCGTTGCTGGCGACTCACAGCAGCCCAGCTCCAGGTTGAGCTGTTGTTCAGCATCTTAGCTGTAGAGGGCAGTGTCACTGGCCCTCACATGTGGGATCCAAACCGGGGCCCTCAGGCGTCCCAAGTCAGCTCTTAACCAACACGCTACTTGGCCGGCCCCACAATATGAACATAATTAATACCTGGTCAGTTTACACCAATAAATGGATATACATGCATAGCATGCATAGTTTTACAAACAATTTGTGTGCTTTTGAGGGTATGCAGTAAGCGCTATCCTGAATCTTATGGGAGTAATTTAGCCAAATCAAACTGGAAAAGAGAAACTGTCATGTTATTGGGTTGACAGAAAAGTCATGACGTATTTTTTCTATGTTTTTCATTGCAAAAATGCATCATGACTATTCTGAAAACTCAGTAGCATCCTAGACACTCAATACATAGAAAAATGGTGATACCTATTTCTCCCTAGATGCTGAAAATCCTAGCTTTCTGCCTTTACCCTGACACCAGACCATGGTTTGAGAAGAGAGAATTATGTTCTCTCCAAACCCAAAAGTATATTGCCACTACCTAAATGTGTGCCTTTGAGGATCTTAGTTTCCTGATTTGTCAAAAAAATCATGTTAGACTACGTGATTCCACTACAAGTTTTCTATTGCTGCACGAACAAATGGCCACAAATTAAGAGGCTTAAACACAAATTTATTTTCTTACAGTTGTGTGGGTCAGAAGTCCAACATGGGTCTCACTGGGCTAAAATCAGGGTTTATCAAGCAGGGCTGCGTTCCTTTTCCAGCTTCCAGAGGCCTCCCACGTCCTTGGATCATGGCCCCCTTCCTCCAACCTCAAAGCCAGCAGTGTTGCATCTGTCTGACTTTTCTCATATCACATTTCTGTCTGACCATAACTGGGAAAGGTTCTCTGCATTTCAGGACCCATGTGATTAGATTGGGCCAACTTGGATAATTCAGGATAATTTCCCATCTCAGGGTGTTCAGCCTTAATCACACCTCCAAATTCCATTTTGCCATGTAAAGTAAAATATTCCCAGTTTCCAGGCAATAGAGTGTGGTCGTGTTTAGGGTCCATTTTTTGCTTATCACAATTCATCAGGTGTCTGGGCAGCTTTAGAACAGGGACTGCTTCTTTTTCATCTTTGTGTCTGCAGCATTGAATACAGTGACCTTGCACAGTAAATGTTCAATAAATGTAATAAGAAATATATGAATTAATGTAATGCCATGAATAGTAAGGAGTGGCATATGAGCAGCTATCCTGTACAGAACACTGTTTCAAGGATCACATAATTTAATTCAAAAGTTTCAACAATTGCAAATACAAAATAATGTTCAAGTCAACTATATAATTGTTTGACAGACTTCTGTTAAGAGGGAAAAGTTTAGGATGATAGAGGATTACATATTAAGGTGGACTTATGTGTTTGTTGGGAAGTAAGGAAGGACAAATTATTATTATTGTTACATTAAACCTAAGATTGAAACAGAAGCATATGTTATTGCAATTGTTGAAATTATTTTAAGTAAATTGAATAAATCAGTGAATAAATGAAACTCTAAATGTAATTTTTATATAATTGTTTTTTTTTTAAGTAAAATTGTTACTTAAAAATTTTCTAATCCTTTTAAGACTTGACAGTCAAGGAGGAAAATAATCACATTTACTACAAGAAAAGAGAAAAATACCAAACTAACCCAAAATTTACCTATAGAGGCAGTGTGAATACACTAATTTCATTGCTTTCCTGATCATGCCTTTTTTAAAAAGATATAATAGACATATAACATTATATTAGTTTCAGGTGTACAACATAAATTCAATATATGTCTATATTGTGGCATGATAATATTAAGTCTAGTTAACATCTATGATATTGTAACACATAGTTACATATGATATTTTCTTATGATGAGAACTTTTAAGATTCTCTTAGCAACTTTCAAATATACTATACAGTATTATTAACTATAGTCATGTTGTACGTTGCATCCCCAGGACTTATTTATTTTATAATACACAGCTTATTTTTATGTAGTTTTTGTAACCACTTATAGGCCATAATTTTGGCATATATGAATTATCTAATAATGATTAAGTATGCACACTACAATTTTGAAAATAGGAGTTAAACATAAAATATTTATCATAATACAAAAACTTCCTTTGAAGTTTGTGGCCATTTTTCCAAAATTGTTCAAATATTTTTGTTCTGCCTAAGAGTCTAGTAGCAATTTTCAAACAGATTTAGTAATTCTGTCCTATTTTGTTATTGTTTAATAAAAATGATTATGTAAAAAAACACAAATTTTAAAATCTGAACACTCTGTATGTGCAGGTAAAAATGTGTAATAGTCTTCTCAAAAGTTTGAAAGTTCATTATGAACTTATCATTTCTTGAAACTTAAAATGGAAAAAATACTAAAAAGCATATTAAAAACAATACTCATACTAGGCCCTGAGTAATAAGACTTCTATCAGTCATGTTCTGATACCAGTTTTGTATTTAGAAAAGGTGATGACATCAACATTAAGAACATTAAAGTACAGCCACATTATTGTTAATAGTGTCAAAAACTGTCATGTACTTTTTAATGTAATCTCTAATGGTTACATGCGAAGAATCTTTTAATTAATTTTGTTAACTTCATTACAGTGCTCTGCATTGTATACTTTAGAATTAATACATAAAGGCCCCAAATTCCCCAGTGTGCATTTCATTTGCCTCTATCCTTCTTAATTTTAAAGACGATCATTGGAATACTGAGTTCATAATAACATTTCCATCTGCTTAATTGAGTAAATGCATCTTATGCAGATTAGCCATTGCTGTTTTATGCTGCCTGTTTTTCATGACCTAATTGCTAATCTGCCCTCAAGTCTATCTGCTTTACTGCTGAGATTGTGCAGTATCCTCTGTGGGCTACCCTAGGACTACATTGGGTAGGGTGTGGTGAACTTATTAAAATAGTATTTTAGAGGGTGAAAAATAAAAAGGGTAATTTTTTAAAAATAAATATTCTTCTGGGAAGTATTTATACAAAAAATGTGATATCTGTTTGGAAAATTGTGAATTCTAAGTACTGTCGTGCAAACACTCCATATCATGAATGGGAAAAAAAATACATTTGAGTTACTTTATAAAGAAATTGGTTGTGAAGGTTAAAATTTGAATAGACAAGGCAGGGGTGAAGGAAAGATGGAAGTAAAACCTAATATTTCCCTTATCTTTTTCTGCATATGTTATATGATTTAAGAACAGAAACAAAATCAAATAATCAAAATCCTACTGTTAGTACTTTTTTATCTGCAGAAATAATAGTTCCAGATATTAATTATGTTTTCCTTTGTGTTTCGTGCATTGCATACCCCATTGCATGCCCCAATGATGGACCGAGTAGGGGTGCCAAGGGGACAGTGAGAAGGTGGGTGACAGAATATGCCTGTTAAGGGTTTCAGGATGGGAAAACATTCACTTTCCCAAAGGTAAAGGAACACTGGTTTTCTAGAAAACTCAGATTCATGAGGAAAGGAGATGCTAGTGCTGATTTGTAAGTTGACCCAATGGTTGGTGGGCAAGAAAACTAAGGAGATAGGGCAGCAATTTAGGTTAGAACATTTTCCCTGTGGTAATATAGGGTGCTCGTGGAGAGTACTGTCTGAGGTAACTTATGAAAAGGCATATAACCAATCAATACCTCCAGTACCTTTGGAAACGTGACCAAATAGAAAGAAAGTCTGTATCTTATGAACCAGATTTGTAATAAAACCTAATAGGAGCCCTAGTCCCAAGAGTTTACAT